CAAGTAGAGGAAAAGGTGCAGGGTGTAGCGCGGACTGTTCTGCAGTACGCGAATGAATAGATCGATACTTACATAATGAGTATGACACGGGCACGAGGACCGATTAGTCTCCGTGCGTCAGGGCAAAACGGCGGCGGATGGGAGAGAACCTTATCAGAGCAAGGGGCAGGAGGCAGTGCGATAGGTCCCGATCGAATAACTAAGGGGGGAGGACAGAGGAGGAGGAGGAGGAGGAGGAGAAGGAGGAGGAGGAGGAGGAAGGAGGAGGAGGAGGGAGGAGGAGGGAGGAGGAAGAGGAGGAGGAAAGAGGAGGAGGAAGGAGGAGGAAGAGGAGGAAGGAGGAAGGAGGAGGAAGGAGGAGGAAGGAGGAGGAAGGGGGAGGAGGAGAGGAAGAGAGGGCCGTTTGCGGGAACTTCATCCCCCGCGCTCGCCCCGGGAGCCGCGCCCCCCCCAAGGGGAGGAGGGGGGCGGCCTCGGCGCGCGGCCCGCGCCATCGGTGGCGGGCGGCGTGCACCGCACTCTGAGCGCCTGCATCCCGCGAGTGGGGATCGACGGCGTCTACAAGCCCCTCCGCCAGGGGCCGGCCACAACGGTGTTCATAGCGGCGTGGCGTTCAAGACGAAAAAAGGCATGCCCGACGCTCAAAACGAGTGTTCACAAGGAGACCTGTGCAACGCGAAGCGAACAACGAAACGAGGCGCTTGACACGAAAACGAGAAGCTAAACGAAATGAGAATGAGCAACGAAACGAACAACAAAACAAGGGCCAGAAGCAAGCTAAACAGCGCTGTGGTCGGTCCCTGGTGAACAACCAACCGTGCATCTCCCTCTACGAGTGGAGATCTACCGCGTCTACAACCCCTTCTATTTGAGGGCGATCAACATGGGGCACAGGGCACTTCGACACCACCAATGCACTTCGACGAGATGAACCCAAAAATGTGGAGATACACCGACCAGCAACCATGCCGAGACCAACTACGACCAGAAGAGCATGGGCGAGATTAGCCGCGTATCGAAAACTCGTAGGGTACCTTCATCCGACACGGTGTACAACCGCACCCCAGCGACACCACGATCATCGCCACGGCCGCCTTCATGATGGCGTCCACCGCGGGCCAGGCCCAGCTACCCGGCAAGAGAAGGATACGCAGGAGCAGGAGGATGACGAGGAGCACTGAAGCTTCGGCTGGAATTCTAGTGCTCAGAGCTTCGTCCCTGAGCCGCGCGTCCACGAGGGCGACCCCACCTACGCCTACGACTACTACTGCTGCCCTGAGTGCGACGACGAGCTTACCAGCGACGAGCTCCCTGGCGCGCTGACCCTGCCTAGCCTGGTCGGCGAGATAGGCTTCACCTTGGCGGAGCCACCAGGAGGACCACGAGAAGGGCGAGGAATGCTGCGCCGACCAGTACAGCGGCTACGACGACGAAGACACCTACGGATTCCCCACCCCGGCACCATGGACACCAGTTCTGAGCGAGGGCCACAAGCTGACCTACGAGGACCACAAGACTCATCAGCAGAACTGCCAGAGCCACCTACTGAGCTGCGAGAGCCTCCAGCTTACATCCGAGGGCCACCGGCTGAACTACGAGAGCCACCAGCCGAGCTACGCGGGACACGAGTTTGGCTACGAAGACCATCAGTTGAGCAACTACGAGGGCCACCAGCTGAGCTACGAGAGCCACAAGCTGACCTACGAGGACCAAAGCAGAGCTACGAGAGCCACCAGCAGAGCTAGGAGGGCCACCTCCTGGGCTACGAGAGCCTCCAGCAGACCTCCGAGGGCCACCAGCTAAATTACGAAGACCACAATCTGAGCTACCAGGGCCACGCGCAGAGTTACGAGGGCCACCAGCTGAACCACGAGCAGAGCTTCGAGAGCCACCCCCGCAGCTAAAGGAGCAACCCGCTGAGCTACGAGGGCAACTAGCTGAACTACGAAGGCCAACCACCACAGCTGCCAGGGCCACCAGCTGAACAACAGGCACCACGAGCAGAGCTCCGAGAGCAGCTAGGAGGGACACCCGCTCAGCTACGGGGGCAACGGTCCAAGCTTCCAGGGCCGCGAGCGGAGCTTCGAGGGCCGCCAGCTGAGCTCCGCGGGCCACCGGCCGAGCTGCGAGGACCGCGGCCAGAACTGCGCGGGCCACCACCAAAGTTTCACGAGCAGCCGCCAGCTGAGCTACCAGGGGCCACAAGCCAGGCTACGAGAGACGCAAGCCGAGCTCCGAGAGCCACCAGCAGGGTTGCAGGGCCACCAGCTGAGCTGCGAGGACACGCCGCAGAGTTTGGAGAACAACCACCAACACGGCTACGAGGGCCATCAGCAGAGCTTCGAATGCCGCCAGCAGAGTGACGAGGGCAGCAAGTGGAGCTCCGAGCGCCACCAGCTGAGCTACGAGGGCCACCAGCAGAGCTACGACAGCAACCAGCAGTACTCCGAGGGCCCCCTGCAGAGGACGAAGAACCAGGGCAGCCAGGCCTGCGAGGAACCCCGACGACCTCGAGGACATCTGCTCCAAGTTGGAGGGCGAGAGCGATCTTGACGCAGACGTGGAGCACTAGCCGCCCGCCGAGTCGGGCCCGCCCGCCCTGTCTGCGGGGTGGGCCAGCGCGATGGACCAGTCCTGGAAGTGGCATTACCACCACAGGGTGACGCAGCAGACCCAGTGGTTGCCCGTCTGACGACGGCGGGGCCCAGCAAACGCCGGGCCAAGAGGCCACGCCCGCACCAAACTCCTCGCTGGTAGGCTGGACCAGCACGCCGGACCAGCGGCGCGACTACTAAAACGAAACGGCCAATAAGTCGCAGTGGACGCCGCCACACGGCACCGTGCACGGCTGCACGAGGGGCACCAGCGAGATCATGGCGCACCGTGCTGACCGAAGGGCCCGCGACCGGCAGAGCTGCCAGGGCCGCCTGCCGATCTGCGCGAGCCACAGGCGGAGCTGCGAGGGCCGCCAACCGAGCTACGAGGACCACTCCTGCGGCCCGGAGGTCCACGCTCCGCTGAGGACGAGCCGCCGGCAGCGGCAAGCTGGGTACCAGGACGCCGATCGGCAGGGCGCACGACGTCTTTATCGGGCGGGCCTGGCCACTCCATCTGCCCCAATCCCCCTGCTCCTTGAAGCTTGGGCTGCATAGGGAGGACAAGACGGTTCCTCTCCTGCACAGGCTCCCGTCCGATCCGCCAGAAGCGTTGAGAGCCGCCGCGGGACGCGCGGCCACGCAGGGCAGCCTCGAGCTCGCCCGCGAGCGCCGGCGCGTGCCGCTGAGAAGCTCAGAGAAGCTGGTGGCATGGTGGACGAGCCCTCCACACCAGCAATGCCCGTGAGGACAGTTCCTCCCTCTCCTCCCCACCTCGTACAGTCCTCTCCCCGCGATCGTCGTGCAGGCCTTCCCCGCGAAGGCCCTCCAGGACGAGTTCTGAGGGCCCCCTGGTCGGCGGCGTGCCCATATTTCTTCATGCCGTTCGAAAGTTGTTCCAGTGTACGTCACCAGAGGACATGGTTCCGCGCGGAAGGGCTGCGCGCAACTCCTCCCCACCTCTGGAAACGAGGTCCCTTGGCGGCGTCCAGGGGGGGCCCTCCACTGGGCGTGCGCGGGCGCCCGCGCCCGCGGGCGCGAGCGCGGCAACCGCGGAGCAGGGAGCGTCACAGCGGCGCGCGGCAGAGAGGAGAGGAAGAGATAGCACAGTAAACCCTCACTCCGAGCTCCCTCTTCATAGCTCCTGCAGGCAAGTCGCTTCGCTGCGGGAAGTGCCCTATTGAAAGACCACCGTCTGAGGACCCTGCCCCGAGGCAGAACACGATTCATAAAACTTCAGCACCACGGTTGAACGCGACTGTTGCTCCCTGGCAATCCTAAATCGTGCAATGGCAGCATTCCTGGGACTTCAACACCGCGAATCAACGTGACTGTTGCGTCCTGACAACCCAAAACCGTGCCAGAACAAGAGTCCTGGGACTTCGACACTGCGAACCCAAGAATCTGCTGCAAATTGTTAAAACGAATGCGATACTCGCGGCACTGAGGCGACAGCCATACTATACAAAAAGAACCACCCTTCATCCTTGAAACTGCTGCAAGCATTGAAATCGAATGTGCGCGGCGGAGGGACAAGAGCCACATTTTGAACTGGACCCCAAACTGCTGCAAACTGTTGAGACGAATGCACGCGACGCTCAGACGAGGGCCACATTTTGAAAACGGGCCGCAGTCCATCCTTGCAACTGCTGCTAACTTTTGAAACGAATATGCGCGGCGCTGTGGCGGGAGCCACAGTTTGAAGACCGCTTGCCCTCCATCTCTGCAGATGCTGCAAACCTTTGAACACATGTATGCGGCGCTGAGGAGCGAGACGCATTTAAGAAAACAGCCACCCTCCATCCTCAACACGCTTGCGCATGTCAAGCTTCCGGCTCATAGATGGTAAGGACCTCTCAGGCGAAACGCGGCCCGCCCTACTGACACGCCGGGGGGTGCGGCTGGGAGGAGCTAGTTATAGGGAAAAAGGGTGATTGAGGATCGGGAACGAGCACGTGGGAGTTAGTCTGCCGCTGCTTATCGCCCGCAAAGCTGCTGCCCATCGAGACCGACGCAGGGGAGCTCTGGGGGGCAAAACGTTGAAGCCGCACAATCGTCCGATGCGGCCGACTGCTCACGACGGACGCCGCACCGCCACTGCAAGCACCCTCGGAGCGGCGCGCAGCCAAAGAGGGGCGAGGAAGGACCATTTGGCCGTCGTCAACTCGTAGACCATCCCCGCGAATCGGCGCCGAAAAATGGACCATGACCAAGGTCGGTGTCGACCAGGCCCCGCCACACCTTGGTCGTGGTCATCGTGCTCCTTCCCTCGAGGAAGGACCACCAGGAGGAGCGCCCCCACACCGCGGGCGCTGCCCAGGCCGCCTAGGCCCGTCACCCCCTCCGCCACCCCCCCTCCCCTCCACCCCCCGGGCACGCGGCGGCCACCCTGCCGGGCGGGCGCGCCTGTTGTTGGACCGGCCCGACGCCAGGATCTTGAGCATCTCCTCCTGTTCGGGAGCGGCCAAGAGGGGGGCGTCCAAGAGGGGGGGTGCAAATCATGACCGGCGGCATGGGCGCGGCCCAGCGGGGGGGCCAGGGACGCAATGAAATAAGCAGAGGCGCCATGAAATCTGGGGAAATATCATGGCCCACGCCATGATATCCATTCCCCCCCCCTTAGTCATCACCCCCCTCTTTGCCTCCCCCGACCCGTGGCCAGGGGAGGGCAGGATCGGCCAGCATCGAGCCGGCAGAGCGGACCGGATCGGCTCGCGCAGCGGATCGGGCTGCATCGGCCCGGAATCCAGATCGGACGCATCGGCTGCGCCAGGATGCACGGCAGCGCCGTGTGAGCATCGAGCCGCATCGCATCGCCGGAAGATCGGGATCGAATCGGATCGGGTCGGCGGGAATCGACATCGAATCGGATCGATCGGATCGAAGACATGGACCCTGTGCGGCCAGGTGTCGCAGACGAGATGACCGGGTGGGTCTGCGATCGCGAGGGCCGGGCGGGCAGCCCTGCACGCGAGAGCCGCGCCCTCGCTGTCTGCGCGCCTCTGGCGAGCGCGCCGCTCCCTCCAGTCCGCGTCCTCCTCCCCCTCCTCCCCCTCCTCCTCCCCCTCCCCCTCCCCCTCCTCCTCCCCCTCCTCCTACTGAGAATATCAGCGTTAGCAGCAGATCAGTTTAGCAATTCAGAGGATCAGTAAATGATCAAGTGTAGTATCTGTTCCGTACGCATCAGGGCTCAGGGTTTGCGCAGTTCAAGACTAAACATCTCAGTTTGGTAGCGGAGCTGGAGTTCAGCTCCAGCTCCAGCCTGCCCCCATCTCGGACAGGGCTCGGGCGCGCGATAGCGTGCCTGCCGCGCGCCGCCAGGCGCGACCCTTCGTCACGACGAAGAACTACGACACCGGGCTGAACTTCGGCCCGCTGCGGATCTTCAAGAAGATCAGTTCGATCTACCTGTTTTTTACGTTCTTCCTCACACACTTCAGCGACGCCTGTGGCGTCTCCTTCTACTCCTACTCCCAGGACTACGAGACGATGGCGACAGGTGGTGGTGCAGACTGGAAGCTCCCGAATTCACTTCCTGAGTTCACCAGGTATGTTCCTCCTGGCTGGAAGCCGGGCATGCCAGACTACACGTTCAAGCACTTCCTCGAACGTCTTCATCTCTGGTGGCGTATCACGCCCATTACTGAAGAGGAGGCCGGCCCGCTCGTTGCAAGTCGGCTTCTCGACAAGGCGTTCGAGGTGGCCATGAGCTTGAAGGTGACTCGCAACGGCGTGGTCATCAGTGGCGATGCGGCTCTGGCCCTCGGCAAGGAAGATGCAGTGCTGGACCCCGCCGGAGTAGAGCTGCACCCTGCCAGTCCAGCGGGAATTGGTCACCTCATTGCGAAGCTCACGGATGCGTTCGAGATTCACGATCAGGACAGGCAGGGTGAGATCCTGGACAAGTTCTGGGATACACGACGCGTATCCTCCTCACTGCAAGACTACCTCCTCAACTTCAAGCAGAGGTTCCAGGAGGCTGAGAGCAAGGCAGGATTGCAGTTGAACTCGACAGGCCTCACGCACATCCTATTCAAGTGGAGCGGCCTTCCGGCCAGAAGAATTGCAGATATCAAGCTTCATCACAATGGAGACCTTACGAAGTTCAACGAGATCTACAGTATGACCAGTCGGATCGCCAAACAAGAAATGGCAGCAGGCGGTGGACATCACTCAGGACACTACGGAGCGTTTGAAGATATGGAGCTGAACGATGATGACTACAATATTTCTTTCTATCAAGATGAAGATCAAGAAGAATATATCGACTTTGTATTCGACGAAGACACGGACCTTCATTATCGAGAATATGCGACGGAACATGGAGAATGGCGATATGGCGCCTATGACAGCTACTGGAATTGGTACGATCAAGATGAGATAGAACAATACCTCGACGAGCTTGACCTCGAAGAAGCATATCAGATGAGCGGCTTCAGAACAAAGTGGCGATGGAATGGACGACGAAAAGGAAAAGGAAAAGGACGTTTTCGCAACAAAGGACGAGGTCGAGGCTACAGTAAAGGTCGAGGACGTGGACGAAAAGGCAAAAGACGTGATGACGATAAACGCTTCTCGTCGGACACTTTGTATGGCGGTAAGAAAGGAAATGGCAAAACAAAGAGCAAGACGGACAGCAACGGCTGCAGTGTCTGTGGCTCTAAGTGGCATCGCGATCAAGATTGTCCAGTTGGCCTTCGTGATCGCAAAGGAGACAGCGGCGGCAAAACGGGAGCGGGTCTCACACATACGTGGCATCACAACTTCAGTGGACATTATCAGGACCAGTATGATGGCGACCTTCCTGAAATCGCTCTCGCGGTTGGACATTCCACAGAGACCACGAAGCAGCCCAACTGGGACTTCAACACCAGGACGGAGCAGGACTACGAAGACGGTGGCCTGCACGACGACGACGAGTACGAGAGGAGGCCGAGGAAAGGAAAAGGACGCGGAAAAGGAAAAAGAGGCAACAACGGCAACAGAGACAATCAGAGCTCCTTCTCATCCTCATCTACAGGTTCCTGGAGGCCTAAGTCCGGTGCCGGACAACCACTGTGGATGGCTGGCAACTTTGATGCGATTTCGGAAGACAGTCCCTCGACAGGATCTTGGAGCGTGCTTTCCTCAGCGACATCTCCTCCTCCTGGTACGTGGCATCAGGCTGATGACGGACCTCCTGTTCAGAAAACAAGCTTCAGCGACATGGTGAAGCCGATGAGCACCAAGACGAACATGAACACTGGCAGCATCAGCGGCATCAACAGCTCATCACAGCTCTCACCAGGATCATCAACCTTTCAGCTTCCAGAGAAGCCGGTCAGAGCTCAGACGGACACCTCCTGGCAGCACGACACGGATAACGATGTGACCCACTCGGGTGTCAACAAAGGTTCTCTATCTGACCTCTGGAAGCCGCATACCAGCCTCTTTGCGATCAACAACGCGTGCTACCCAGCATCGAAGGCAAAGGACGAGGAGATGATACTCATGACCAGCGTACGCGGAAAGCAGCGTCTCGGTCTGATCGTGGACCCAGGCGCGTCGAGAGGCCTGGGCGGTACCGAGACAGTACGAGAAATATGCGATCACCTGTTGTGGCCAAAAGGTCAAGATATCACACTGAAGGACTCGCACTCGAAGTTGTCAGGTATCGATGGCAAGCCCAGTCCCTCGCTCGGCCTCGGCACGATTCCGCTCAATTTGAAGGCATTGCCCAGGAGCTCGTTCACCATGGATCTCCTGGGAGGTTCAGGCTCTAAATGCCCGTGCCTTCTTCCGAACGAGTCGATCATCGAGCACGCCGGGTCCATGTACGCCAACGTTCTGCCAAACAAAGATGGAGTTCTGGTTATCAATCATATCGGAGCTATGGGCAGAAAGGTTGCACCTACCTCGTTCCTGCGTATCTTGTACACGGACTCGGGCCACTATCTTCTGCCTATCGACGACCCTCTTGCCAATACCGGCGAAGAAGCGACAATATTGCGACAAGCGGTAAAGGACTACATGGAGTTCATCTTCGACACCAACATGACCACCAAGACTGGCGTCAACACCGCTCTGCACTCGAGTCATCCTGGAGCAGTGCTTGGCGAGGACGCAACTCGGACTTGCCACGGGTCGGGACCCCCTGCAGCGTGCGCCTCGAGCGCTGTAGGGTCGTCGTCGCCACACTTGTCGTCACCGCAGTTGCTCGGACATTCCGAAACGGCTCGGAAGGACGCAGCTCGAACCCAGGATGGACGCAGTGAGACGGCAACACAGACGAGTGACATCCAGTCGACCTTCGACAGCAGCACTTCAGAAAGTAGAATGAGACTGAGAGAATATCAAGCAGACAAAGCAGATCTACATGGAGGTCGACCTCGTCATGCTGCCGGAGTTGGTTCGAAGAGCACGCCTCAGCAGATACGTCAAATGTTTTACAAACGGTGGAACACATTCAACGGAGACAAGTGGACTGGAGCAAATCAGTGGCCTTCTGCTTGTGACCGTGACGATGTCAGTCTTCTTGAAAAGAAATACAAGGCAATGCCCGAAGAATTTTATCATCAGACTCATCTGCCTATCATTACACCGCACAATGCCATGCTCTGGGTCGACCACATGAAGGGCTTCAAGCTACATCTTCAAGAACGTATGTCAGGAAGTGGTCGTCTTTCTCTCAGATGCATGCGGCTCGGCTTGCAGGTGGCTTTTCCAGTGGATTATCGATACGGATGGAACTTAGCGGATGCCGATCATCAGAATATCCTCACAGCCGTAAGGAGGACACTAGGCATCAAGACCTCTTGGTGGGCTCCTACCTGTACACCATGGTCTCAGGCCTCGAAGGGCGATGCAGACAAGCGCGAAGCTGAACGACAGACCCAGAAAGCTACACTAGACTGGTGTGTTGGTGATATTCAGACAGGTCAGCGACGCGGAGAACACTCAGCACTGGAGAACCCCAACACCAGCGAGATCTGGGACAAGTCGGTGTTTCAGGCTCTACCGGGTCTCGGCCTGCGATCGTACGTGGGAGATCACTGCCCCTTTGGAGCCGTGAATGAGATTGGTGAACCCATTCGCAAGCGAACACGGTACATGAGCACCTTCGGCCTTCGCGGAGTCGCCCGACACTGTAAATGCAAAGGCGGTCTACCCCAAATTGTTGCGTGACGCAATCGGCAAGGACATCATGAAGCTCATCGGACAGGCCACTACAGAGTACCACGCGATGCCTGATGATGACAACGATGACGTCACAACATATTGGGCGTGTCCGAGGTGCAAGCACGGCAAGCAGACCACGGAACCACACAGCAGGATTCAAGGACAGTGCAAGATGGCCGGCGAAACTCCTCGACCTGCTCCTCCTACGCCTTCGGCGGCAGCAGCACCGGCTGCAGTCGAGAGGGCAGCTCAGGCGGAAGAGTCTGAGGACGAACCTCCAGTTGCAATGCCTGAAGAACCTCCTGACGAAGCAGAACCAGAAGTCAAGCCCCTGCAGGAGGTTGCATTGGAGCCAGTCACTACCAGCAACGTGGACCAGGCACCGGCGATCGCGCCGGAGAAGTCAGCCTCAGCTTCTGCGTCTCCTTCAGCCTCGGTGGAGCCAAAGATCGCGAAGAAGGAATGGTATGACGTCAAGCCCAGCTTCAACCTTGCGAACCTCTTGAAGAAACTGAAGGAAGCAGAGGCAAGCAAAGACAGGAAAGAGTGCATACGCTGTCTTCTTGGACTACATGTTCGTTTTTGGCATGCATCGGTTCCAGATATGGCCATACTGCTAAAACAAGGAGACTGCTGGACACCATTCCTGGCCAAGATACTTGTCCTCATCCCGAAGGCGCGCAAGGACTGCCGGGACTTCATGCCTCTAGCCACGAAGCCTCAAGTCGGCATCACGATGGCAGTACACTTCAACCAGCGGATCCAGATGGACCTATTCTTCCAATGGGATCAGTGTTTCATCCTCGTCATCGATGAGTTCAGCAAGTACAAGGTCGCCGACTTCCTCAAGGACAGGACCGCTGAGGAGATCCTCTCAACGGTGCTTCGTTGCTGGATCAGGTACTTCGGGCCGCCGATCAGACTCATCTTGGACCAGGAGGGCGGCATGGTTTCTGAATTGGCATCGCGCATGTGTGACAAATTTCACATCAGGCGTTCCTTCGCTGGCACCGATGATCATACCATGACGGGCCTGGTGGAACGATGGATTTCTCTCATCAGGCTATGCTCACTCAAGCTGAAGAAAAGCGCTCAGGCCCAGGGCCTGCAGGTATCTCGAACTCGCTCGTATCGCACTCGCCTGCAGGTATCTGCGGCCATGGTCTCGAACTCGCTCGTATCTTACGGAGGCCAGACGGCGAATCAGGTGGCGCTGGGATTCACTCCTCGCGACTACTACGACATGGAGGCCACTACCTTGGACTCCGTGACGCCAGCCGTGGACAGCTGTCCGGATCCCTTCGAGTCGGCACTTCGATTACGAATGCAGGCCAAGATTGCCATGGCCAAGAGCTTGGTCGAAGAGCGCATCGCAAGATGCAACCGGACTCGGCAGCAGCAGACACCTCCTGGACAGCGACTTCAGCCTGGCGAACCTGTTGACATCTATCGTGTGCCAGAACGCAAGGATCAGTCAGGATGGAGAGGACCAGCGGAACTTGTCAAACTTTCTCAGGGAACTGGCATAGTGGTCTGGAACGGTATTCCCTACATTCTGCCCACGAGGCACATCAGACGACACGCCATCAACCTGGAAAAAGTACCAATCGGCGACGGCAATCACTATGCATATTTACTGAAGGACACGACGGACAGCTCTAACCTCACCAAGCTCATGGACCTCGTCGACGGCACAGCCTACGGCCAGTACACCAGGATCGGAAAAATCTTCGACGGCAGTTCCATGACTTGCTCACCTTCGGTATCTCAGTTACGACTGGTCAAGCACTGGTGCCTGTGTCTTCAGATATACCAGCGAGTTTTCCATTTGAAGAGCGTGAACGGCCTGTTGTACGGTAAATCGGTCAGACGCACTCCGGCACTGGATCGGATGTATGATGGATGGCTCGTCACTTGGCCTCGTTCGAATAAGACGAAATACTTGGCACAGGAAGTACGACCAGACAAAGGAATAAACATCACGGACTTTTCGAGCGACGCATGGGATGTTACTTCTTTCTTCCTTATGTATCGGACTGAGTTGCCGGTGAACCCCTTTCTCGACGATTACGAAATACCAGACACGGACGATCTCGGCAACATCGAGGTCTGGCCAGAGAGCATGAGAGACATCGATCAGGACATCCGCGACATGGTCAGCCTTCTTCCTGATGATGATGATTGGGAAGCAGCCATCCTCTCCTATTCGCAAGAAGCATCGCGACAAAACATAAGGGAGAAGTCGTCGCTGGACATCGAACAAGCAACAGCTCAACTTCCACCAATACGAGAAGCTATTCAAGACAAGTCTGTCGGATCGAATTCCAATGATCTCGATCTCACTGGAGAGCTCAGCAGACTTCTGGACCAAGGCGGCATTGGCTCAGATCCCAGGGCTCAACCATCAGCATCCTCGGGACAGCCATCAGCTCCTGTACAACAAGCGACACCTCTACCTCAGCCTGTACAACAAGCGATACCTCTACCTCAGCCTGCACAGCGAGCTGTGCCTCTGCCTGCACCAACACAACCAGCTGTACATCAGCCTCAACCTCATACAGCGGTGCCTGTTCAGGACGACAGCTTCGACATGAGCAAGGCGCTGAGCGACATTTTGCCAGAGTTCCAGGACGTTGAGGTGGATCAGGCGATGCCTCTCGCACCGCCGGCTACTCCAGCGCAAGACAGGCCTACTCTACCAGAAGTTGACTCCAAGAGAGTCAAGACAGCTCCTCCTAGCACGATACCTGCAGCGAGCACGACAACTTCCTCGCCTGGCTTGGTTCCCTTACCGAGTGCGGCATCAACGTCGAGGCCGACCATCGAACGCGAGCCGGTCACGAAGCGCGAGCACGACACAGTGGACCCCGGACAGTCGACTTCGATGGAGCAGCCTCCGACACGACCCTATGCCGGCACCGCGCCGACAGCTCAGCCAGCGGCCTCGCCGACCGAGGATGGACAGATCGAGCCTGAGGTCAAGGAGCTGGATCTTTCGAGTGAGTTGAGCAAGTTGTTGGAGCAAGATGTTTTTCAACCTGGCGCGGCAGCCGAACAGTCAGCACCAGCGAGCTCACAGACATTGGTTCCTTCAGGCGATGACGGCGCCCCTCCTGGACCAGGTCTCAACTCGGAAGATTGGAATCAACTGCAGAACATGCCAGCGGAAGATGCTGTTCCCATCGAGTTGCCGGTGCGCGTCGACATGCCAGAAAGTGACCACACGCCTATTCAAGATGCTGACCTGTACGCTCGATGAAACACGGCGACAAGTTGTTTGGATATCACGACAGAAGAAGAGACATATCTAAATGAAGTGCGTGAAACATACTTGTCCGACTCAATGACCATAGTACTGGAACAGCAACGGCAAGACAACTTCTTTGCTGACAAGATCGGACAACAGAATGGCTCGTCGACTTCAGATCTTCCCTGGACGCGCTCGCAATCAGCCTGGGTTCTTGCTGGGCCATGGAAACGGAACCAGTGTTTTCTGTTCGACCTAAACACGGGAGAAGCAGTTACCTACGCGGCTCAGGCGGACGGCAACCTTACCGAGCAGGAGATATACGAGAACTGGGACCTAGTCGAAGCGGCTGATCGAGCAGAGCTCACCGCTTTCGTGGGCCACTCTGTGTTCGCGTGCGCGGCGATCAAGAACTTGGACTCTCGGAATGTCACTGATGCAGTCTGGGTTCGGCGTTGGAAGCTCAATCCGAAGAAGCAAGTCTGGGAGGTGAAATCTCGATTATGTGGCCGTGGTTTTCTAGATTCCCAGAAACATCAGATACAACGGCATTCCAGTACAGCATCAAGGATCAGTCAAAAGTTGGTGGTGAGTATGGCACAGTGTCACGCTATGACAGACCTTGAAAGTTGGGATATCTCAACAGCATTTCTTCAAGGACTATCGTTCGACGAGTTGAGGAAGCGATCAAGAGAATTGAAACTGTCGTGTACAAGGGTCACGAAAGTCTACCTCAATTCACCGGCGAACGTATGGCGACACTTGGCCAACATCGAGGGCAGCTCAGTGGTGGTACAGCCGGTTGACTACGGCCTCTTCCTCCTGGAGCTGCTCAAGCCCGTGTATGGGCTGGTCGATGCGCCACATCTGTGGCAGATCGCACTCACACTGTTCCTCGTATCTACCCTGGAAGCTCGCATCAGTCTGTGGGATGACAACTTCGTGTACTGGACTGTGAAGGACATCGACATTCTACGACGACGGCATCCTCACAAGGCGCACGAATGCGGAGCATCGGAAAGCCTTATGACAGCGATGACGGATAAGCTAGCGGCCTGCCTGACGATTCACGTGGACGATCTACTCACTCAGTCGAGGACCCAGATCTTGAATTTTCCGAGGCAGCTCCTAGAGACAAAGTTTGGAGCAGTCAAGCGTCAGAACCTGCCCTTCACACACAATGGAGCTCAGTACTCTAGATTGGCAAATGATAGCATCCTCATCCAGCAGCTTGATCACTTACGTAACATCAAGCCATGCGAGATCCCTGCTCTGAATGACGATCAACTTGTATCAGCACAATACGTACATGGCTTTCGGAGCATCCTCACCAGCATGCTATTATTGTGTCAACGCAATGTTCACATCCTGACGGAAGTCACTCAGTTGCAGGGCTTCAACAATGAGCCGAAGGTGATGCACCTCAAAAGGGCCAATGCGGTGTTGAAGAAGGCGCAGAGCGACAACATCATGATCGGTCTTCATTATCAACGACTTTCAGGACCTTATTGCCTACGCGCCATAGGAGATGCAAATCACACGACCAAGACGAGTGTATATCCACAAGAAGGCCAGGTCATACTACTCATGCACGATGTTCCTCTCACATTAGACAGCAAAATGGACACGATCAGCAACAAGAAGTGTCTCAGTAGATATTGTCACCCAATGGCGATTCTCTCGAACAAGGCGAAGAAGGTTGCACACTCGACGTCCATGGGCGAGACAAATTGTGCGCTGAGTGTTGTAAGCAATGCACAGATGATAGCACTTCGTATCACGGAAATGCAGATGGATCAAGATATTGCTCAGAAAGATCGCATCAAGGCAATGATGGACATCAACGAGACGGGTGCCTACGAGATTGCAAGTGACCACCTGACGGACTGCAAGGACGTGTTCGAACTGGTGACGGGACCGAAAGGCGTTCCTCAAGATAAGCAGCAGAGACTTCCGGTGATGGCACTCAGAGAGGAAAGGATCACTACGCGGATACGGTGGACGATACATGTACCGACAGAGATCATGATAGCAGATGCGATGACAAAGCCAGGGACCTTCAAACAGATGATGAAGCTATTGACTACAAGTTTCCTGGACATGGAGATGATATCCAAGTTAGCTACAGCTCGACGTATTCAGCATCCACCTGCGGATTACACAGAGAGCGACTTAGAGACGATCCAGAGGTTCAACGGCCAGGTGAACTTTGAGTTCCACCAGATGAACGACAGCCTGATGACTGAGGCTCGCATCCGTTGCCGCCCGGAGCCTCCTTTGTCCTAACCTCCTCCTTCTCTCTCTCTCGAGTCAGATGTTTTCTGATATGTTCCAGAATGCGTTTTCTTCCCTGTAACTTTTTCACAACAGCCCTTAGAAAGTAGAATGAGACTGAGAATATCAGCGTTAGCAGCAGATCAGTTTAGCAATTCAGAGGATCAGTAAATGATCAAGTGTAGTATCTGTTCCGTACGCATCAGGGCTCAGGGTTTGCGCAGTTCAAGACTAAACATCTCAGTCTCCTCCCCCTCCTCCCCTTCCCCCTCCTACTCCTCCCCCCCCCTCCTCCTCCCCCTCCTCCTCCCCCTCCTCCTCCCCCTCCTCCTCCCTGGTCCCTGGTCCCCCTCCTCCTCCCCCTCCTCCTCCTCCCCCTCCTCCTCCCTGAGCGGCAGGTGACATTCCTGGCCCTCGCTGCCCGCCGCGCGGCCACGCTCGGCCATCGCGCGTAGCACGAGGAGCGGGGGGGGCATGCTGCAAGAGCCCTAGGGACAGTCATACCCAGCCTCAGACCATCCCTGTCCCTGAGATCGTCAAGCCCAGGGCGATGAAAGTCTTGGAGGGGGGCCCTCAGAAACGAGGAGGAACCCTGAGATCGACCTCGAGATGAGGTGATGCCAACCTCTGGGATAGGAATGTTTGTCAGGCCCCCCGCCGACCTGATATGTTAAAGGCCCCCCGCTGTCCTCGGAGAAATTCTTCCAGGTGAAGTCGGGGTCCACGATTTCCTTGTACCTTGCTTCGGGGCCCAGATCTTCTCCGCCTTCTCACCGTCCTCCTCCTCCTCCTCCTCCTCCTCCTCCTCCTCCTCCGTCCTTTTCCCTTATAGGTAACTCCTCCTTGTCGCATGCGGGCCAGGCAATTCGCCTGAGACTTCCTCACCACTTATGATCCGTGATTGGCGTTTCAGTCTGCCCTGACCAGAACATCTGTTATCGCGTGTCCATTCCAAATCTCTCCCCTACAGACTCGCAATCAATATTCACACATGGTTGGCCCATGACAAATCACGTCGCGCGTGTGCCGCTCTCCAACCGTACGATCACAATCAGCGTCTTGTTATACGCCCGCCTTGCGGCCCTAGCGTCTACCAACGCCATTGTCAGGCCTGCGTTGGGAAAGTAACATGTCGCGCAATATCTCGCCGTGGGAAAATACTAGCAAGGGTCATCTGCAACCCCGGGCGTCCCCGATTTCGAACCGTACAAGCCTCTGTTTCCAGCAGGAAGGCCAAACAGCCCGAAACAGACCGAGATACACACATCTCCTCATTCGGCGGCATCGGCTTTATGGCCCAGATCTAACGCCAGCCAACAGCTGTCCTATGATACGTATCTGCATTGGTAAGTCATCATCCATAGGCATCAAAAGACCAAGCAGCTCCAAAGTAGCAAGTCCAAAGAGAAGCCAGACTCTGCCTCTTTATCCCCGCGCCACACCTCCTGTAAACTACGTGCGATGGCGTTGCGTTACGTCGGGTGCACGTTGGGCCATCTTTTCCAAAGTCATTTCTTGAGAAATAGAACCATGCACGTCAGTGACGACCATGATCTCGCGAGCACCGCCACGTCGTCGGCGAACCCACGTGCGCGGCACGCTTACATGTGAGCTCCTGCCCCCCAACGCGGTGCCCGTCCCCCTGTTTTGCTGGACGCCGATGATTTCCTTGAGCATTTGATCCACAACCAAATATAATAACAACGGCGACAGAGGGTGACGGAGTCCGCCATGCACATTGAACTTGCTGCTCCCGACGCATGAGAACAACTGCTCGGAGGCAGACATATCTCTAAAAACTTCCCGCGACAAGCATCGTTCAATACCAGCCTCTACTTCTGGCCCCGTGATCGTATCAAACATGCGGACGCGACGCACTATGTCGAATGCTATCTCGACGCTTGAGCCCGCCAACCACAACTCGTATCCCCATCTTTCTGATTCCCAACCACCAACCCTAACAAATGCACTGCGCCACCGCCCCCTGCCACACACAAGAAAGGCCTATCAAGCCCCATCCCCTGCCTCTCGCCTCCCGGACAGGATACGCTCAAAAAACCCAATCCTCCTCACCCTGCTTCATCCTTGCCTCCATGATTCCCTCTCTCCTCCTCCCCCCCCTCCTCCTCCTCCTCCTCCTCCCCCTCCTCCTCCACCTCCTCGACCTCAGCCTCATCATCTGCCTCCTCCTCGCCCTCCTCCTCCTCATCCTCCTCCTCCTCCTCCCATTCCTCCTCCTCCTCCTCCTCCTCATCCTCCTCCTCCCTCCTCGTCTTCCCCTCCTCCTCCTCCACCTCCTCCTCCTCCTCCTCCTCTCCTTTTCCTCCTCCTCTTCATCCTCCTCCTCCTCCTCATCCTCCTCCTTCTCCTCCTTCTCAACATCTTCCTTCTCCTCCTCCTCTTCCTCCTCCTCCTCCTTCTCCGCCACCTCCTACGGTTCCTCGTCCTCCTCCAATGTTCCTCCTCCCCCTCCTCTCCTCCTCCTCCTCTTCCTCCTCCTCCTCCTCCTCCGCATCGTCCTCGTCCTCCTTTTCCTCCTCGAACTCCTCCTCGTCCTCCTCCTCCTCCTCCTCCTCCTCCTCATCATCATCATCAGCATCAGCATCATCATCATCATCAGCATCATCATCATCATCATCATCATCATCATCATCATCAGCATCATCATCATCACCACCACCACCACCACCACCATCATCATCATCATCATCATCATCATCCTCATCAGCATCAGCATCAGCATCAGCATCATCATCATCAGCATCAGCATCATCACCATCATCATCCTCATCATCATAATCACCATCATCATCATCAGCATCATCAGCATCATCATCCTCATTATCATCATCATCGTCATCATCATCATCATCAGCATCATCATCGTCGTCGTCATCATCATCAGCATCATCAACATCAGCAGCAGCAGCATCCTCTTCCTTCCTCCTCCTCCTTCTCCTCCTCATCCGCCTCCTCCTCCTCCTCCTCTTCCTCCTCCTTCTCCTCCTCCTCCTCCTCCGCCTCGTCCTCCTCCTTCTGTACCTCCACATCCACCTCTTCCTCCCTCCCATCTCATCCTCTTTCTCCTCCTTCACCTCATCCTTATTCTCCTCTTCATATTTCTGTTCTTATGAATAATATTACTTTAAGTGATATCAACCTAATTGTATCACTAATTGTATCAAAAGGATTATCACTAATTGATTTATAAAAGGATTATGGTTCCTAGTAATATTCGTCATATTCCTATTCTCGCTATTAGTAGTGTAAGTAGTATGTGTTTCGTATTCTGATTAGGTTTACTATTACTGATAGTATTGTTAGGCTTCTTCTTAGTGTTATCAGCATTACTGTTATTGTGTTGAATCGTACAATTCCGTATCCGCATGATTACTAGTATTCCACCTCCTCCTCCTCCTGCTCCTCATCCTCCTCCTCCTCCGCCTCCGCATCCGCATCCTCGTCATCATCATCAGCATCATCATCATCATCACCATCATCATCCTCATCAGCATCATCATCAGCATAGGTATCATTATCGTTATCATTATCAGTATCAGCATCATCATCACCATCGTCATCATCATCATCGTCATCAACATCATCATCATCATCATCAGCATCATCATCATCATCATCATCGTCAGCAGCATCAGCATCATCAGCATCATCCCATCATCATCATCAGTATCAGCATCAGCATCATCATTGTCGAGCCGAGGCGACTCGAGCGAAGTTTTTGAGTCAACCTCTCCTTCCTCACTCTCTCTCTTGCCGCCGCCTCCGCGGCTGTATGGGATCGAGGAGGGGGCCCCCTCTTTTGTGCAGAGAGCGCGGCAGACACGCTCGCCGGCACGGGCCGGCGCCAGATGCTCGACGGACGAGCGCAGCACATCACATCGTGCAGAATACATCGTCGACGGTAATCACGACATTGGTACTGCGGAGCTAGATCCACGGACGAGTTCTGGCACTCCTGAAGGGACCAGAACACCATGCAAGGGGACGACAAGAAGTCCAAGGATGCCATCCCAGAATGGGACGGCAACCCAGGGCGTTGGCGGCACTTCGAGACGGCTGTGAAGTGGTTCCCTCGCACGCTCAAGCGGCAAGAGAGGGACCTGGCGGCGAACCGGATCATTGGACGCATGCTGCAGAGTAAGACGATCGCCATCAGGACGTTTGCGACCACTCTGGATCCGGACCGATATGAGAATCCGAATGGCCACCTCCTCCTCTTAGACGACCTGAGGAGCAGCCCGCTTGGGAAGCTTCCGATCCCGGACGCAGCCCACAAGATCAAGCACTACTACAAGGATTTCAAGCGGCGCAAGGGCGAGACGGTGGGCGCGCTCCTGATCAGAGAGCAGGACTGCTACTCAGAGATGGTCCAGGCGCTGGAGCGCCTCCTGGAGGAGATGGGCGACAACGACAAGTACAAGCAGTGCCAGGAGTGCTACGGCTACTTCGAGAGAGACCGTGGCGCAGCTGGACGCGGACAATGGTACTGCCAGAGGTGCTGGGACCACTGGGAGCCCAGCCCCGACGCGTCGGCGCCCTCAGCAGCAGATGATGCCCCTGCTGAGGAAGCAGAAGAAGCAGATGAGTACGAACGACAGTCGATCACGTCTCGTTCGCAGGGCTCTCGAACGGAACGTTTTCACCGACAAGAATCCATGGCTAGCAAGCTCAAGGTTTCAGAAGCGATGGCAGTGGGCTCTACGTTTTTCGGCCACGCTTCTGGAGTTCTGAAGGTCCTCCGCGGATTCTTCCTGCTCGAGGCAATGGACTTCACCGAGAAAGAGAAGCAGGACGTCCGCGTGGTCACGCAGAATCGTTTGGATTTCGATGCAGTCTCCAAGGCTTTGAAGGAGAGATGGGAGGACAAGGCGCTGGTGCAGCGGGACTTCGGACCGAGGGCTATGCCTCGGTACGGCCCGGAGTCAGGCCCTCAGTCGGCCCTCGTTGCAGAGTTTGACGACGTACACGGACCAGACTGGTACGACGGCTACGCAGCGGCAGTTCAGGCGTGGGAGAACGACGGTTACGACCACCACGAGAACGAGGACGACTACGACGTCGTGGAGGAGCCGCAGCTCGCCTCAGAGCCAGAGGAGTCCGAGGCCATGGACGAGGATCTCAACCATCTCAACGAGGAGCTCGAGGCGGCCCAGGCGATGGCAGCAGAGGCTTCACGCACTCTGGTTCAAGCCAGGCAAGCAGTGGCCGCCGCTCACAAAGATCGAGGATTTGGCAAGCCATCATCGAGTCCAGGAGGGAAGAGTCGCCTTCCCCCGTCGTGGCCACACCAGCAGCCCTCGAGACCGCCGTTCGGTGGTCGAGGCCCAAAGGGCAGCAAGGGCAGCAAGAGCGGCAAGGGCAGCAAGTACCGCGACAGGGACAACGACCAGAAGGGCAAGAATGCGAACTACCTGGAGTTCCACACGATCACGCACGGGTTTGACGAGCTCCAGGGTCTGTACCAGGCGGAGCTGAACGACAGCAGCCTCGCCCCCTCTGAGGCCATGGTTGATTGCGGGGCTTCCGCGTCCGCCGGAGGCGAGCGCGCAGTCCAGGCCCTGGTTGCCGCCGTTGCGGCTGCGAACCCACAGGCCAGGATCGAGATCAACAAAAATGAAAGACCGTGGTTTCGTTTCGGAGACAATAAGTGGGGCAGAGCACTGTATGAGGTTTCGGTCGAGTTCGAGCCGGGCTTCGTTCTGGGTATTTTCGCTCTCAGTCCTGGCGTGCCTCTCGTTCTGTTGGGAATGACCGCTCTGGAGTCGTGGCCGGCAATCGTGAATTTCCGAACCGGGGAGGCTGTGATCAGGGGTCAACTGGTGCAGCTTCGCAAGACTCCAGGCAAGGGCCATTGCATCCTCGACCTGGTGAAGCACGTTTCCGAGATTTTAAACCCGACCGCGGAAAACACCGAGGGTCTTGCAAGGGCGTTTCAGAGATGGTCGATGACAAAGACCACATCACCACCATCAGCATCATCTCAGACAAGAACGACATCACCAGCATCATCTCAGACAAGAACGACATTATCAGCATCATCTCGGACAAGAACGACTTTATCAGCACCATCTCAAACAAGAACGACATCATCAGCATCATCTCAGATGAAAACGACACCATCATCAGTATATACGGCCCTGACGACAATACCATCATTGATAACAGCAACATCACCTCCATCAACCATAACAGGAAGAGCAGCTCCATCATGGTCATCCCATCCTCCGCCGTCTTTTGGCTCTGGAACTCGATCAGAGCGGATTTCGGCAATCCGCAAGCCGGCGCTTCAGTCAGAGCGTTTCCATGGAGGGCAAGGACGAATGGGTACCTGTCGACATAGATGCCGACAAGAAGGAGGAGGGCCCGGAGGTAAAGTCACCTTCGGCGGCAGCGAGCTCCGGACCTACGACCCAGGTCAAGCGGGAGTTCGTCTTCAACGGCCAGAAAATGGAGCATGTCACCTCGGAGGGCAAGGTCAAGGAGAGAGATCCGGGCAACGCGCACCAGGGTCGCAAGAAGGAGAAGCAGATGGAGCTGGACCCGGCGTTCGCACTGCAGGTGGACCCCCGCGACCCGAGGACCACACGGGGACCGTGCGGGCAGACGCATCGCAAGTACTTCACGGTCAACAACCAGTGGGGCCAGACCAGGACGTGCTATCGGCGCGGGCTGAGGTTGCTCTACGTTCCGACGGCGAAGGCGCCGATGACGAACCTCAGCATGCAGCATCCGAAGTTGGTGGAGTCCGGCCTGGAGTTGGTGCGGCACTGCAACATGTGGGAGACGGCCAATCACGAGCAGGTGACCGCGATGATCAACATCGCCACCTCACTTCGGAGGCTCCCCGGGACCGAGATCCGACACGCGCCGGACGCGCTGCTGGAGATGTTGGGGGCAGCGAATCCCAGGCGCAAGGTCCAGATGGCCGAACCAGTACCCGGGCCAGTCTGAGCCGGGTGCCGAGACAGCTTCTGGCGGCCGGACGCCGCAGGACACTATTCGCAGGACTGGCTTTGGCCATGACCGTGGGTACGATCACCGAGGCAGTGGAGATCTGCTGCCATCCCAACAGCATGCTGACCGACGAGTGCACCAACATCGGCCTCAGCATGGAGCGGATCAGCATCGAGAACGGCTACAACCTCAGCACGAAGGCGGGGTTCGAGGCCGCTAGCAAGAAGCTGGACGAGGTGATGCCGAAGAGGGCTTGGATATCGCTACCATGCACACTATGGACTTCACTTACGAACTTCAATTACAAGACACCAGAGGCACGTGCACGCCTCGAGAAAGACCGACTTCGAGACCGACGACGTGTGAAGTATGGAGTTCTCCTGTTGCTAAAGATTGTTGACAACGGAGGCGAGGTCTACTTCGAGTGGCCTCACAGGTGTCAAGGCTGGAAGATTCCCGAGCTCAACTTTCTACGCACGGAGTTGAGGCGTCGGGGACGACACGTCTTCGAGGATCGGATCGACGGGTGCATGTACGGCCTCAGGGACTACAACACTAACGAGCTCGTCGAGAAGGGCTGGAGGATCATGACCACCGACCCGGAGTTCTCCAAGGTCGCGACCGTGTGTGACCACTCACACGGCCACCGAGTCATCAGCGGGAAGCTACACACTGCAGCCACAGCCTACTACCCGCAGGCGATGTGCAAGGCAATTGCCCGACTATGGCATGCTCAACTCCGGACCCCGATCGACCTCAACATGGCCCTGGAGAACCCTGCTGTCCTCGACCTCGAGAATGCCTACCTGATGGAGCGGGACACCGGGAGCATCTACGTCGCTGAGCCCACGGATCCCGAAAGGGAACAGGTGCGGGCGATGTTGAGCAGGATCCACAAGGCTGCAGGGCACCCAGGGAACGAGCACTTGGCTTACTGGTGCAAGAAGCGACAGTGTCCACGCTGGATTATCGAAGAAGCGATCAACCTACGCTGCGAGGCATGCGACCTGGTCAAGCACGGCCTTACCCACAAGGTCAAGGCGAGCCTCGACATCCCCATGGCACCTTGGCAGGCAGCCGTCATGGACGTTTCCGACCTGACGTTCCCGGACTTGAACGTGAAGGCCAGGTTTCTCCTCATCGCAGAGGTCGCCACCGGCCTGATGTGTGGAGACATCGCTGCGAAGATCGGCCTCAAAGACAAGGGCACGGATTCGTCAGCTACGCCGTTCACGACGTTTGCCAGAGCCTACCTTCAACACTATCCCAAGCCAAGGTGGGTTTTCGTCGATCCTCAGCCATCTTTTGTGGGCGGCGAGTTTAAAGACAACTGCCAGTTGGCCGGCATCGGCGTCTCAGCGAAACCAGGAGGAGCACATTGGATGGCTGGCGACATCGAGCGCCGCATCTCGACCGTCAAGCAGGTAATGAGGAAGCTTCGCCTACAATACCCGAAGCTGAGTCCCGAGACCGTGTTTTACATCTCGATTGCGGCGGCCAACAACATGGACAACATCAAGGGCTACACGCCGACGCAGTGGGCTTTCGGGTTCTCTCCCACCGAGGACCCAATCTTGGCGCATAACGCAGCTACTGGCAAGTTGAAGTCCGACTTCTTCGAGATCGAGCGGGTACGAGCGGATGCAGAGGCGACTTACCTGAAGGAGAAGGCGTCCAGGAAGATCTCAGAGCTGAAGAACTCAGCCCCACGACCTCGACATGAATATAAACGAGGCGACTGGGTCTGTGTCTGGCGGTCGTACGCTGCGACAGGGAAGCGAAAGCTTTCCGGGCAGGATTTCTTCACGGACGGCCTATTCATCGGACCGGGCAGGGTTTTGTTCTCCGAGCCGGCGGTCCAGACAGGCAACAAGGACGGCGTGATCTGGGTCATCATGGGCAACCGATGCTGGCGCTGCGCAGCTGAGCAACTGCGGCCAGCCACGCAGTCGGAGATCGTCCAGATCAACCTGAAGAAGGACGACATCCTCAACAGTCCGCTCGAGGACGTCTGGAGGCACCTCCAGGACTTTGACGACATCGCCGGGGAGCCCTCCCCAACGGCAGATGGCATGAGGATGCTACCACGTCAACCTCTTGAGGGCATGCCGAGGGTGATCGAGAATCCCGATGTGGCCGTGGAACCCCACGACGTCACGGAGGCAGATGACGACCTGGAGGTCGACGAGGACAACTCAGCACCAGAGCCACCACAGATTAAGCGAACGAGATTGAGAGGCAAGCAACCGACTGTGTCGTGGCCACCTGTACCGACTGAAGCTTTCCAACCGCGTTTTGGGAGATCATCTTCATCAAGAGCCTCAGCTGAAGTTGCTCACGCTGCCCTCTTCAAGGCGGCGAGCGACCATGTGGAAGCCAGCGAGACCGACATCATCAACTTCGTGCAGGATCCGAATAACGAGGCCGAGATGGACCTGATGAAGATCGAGATCGAGACGGACCTTGAAGAGTTCTGCTTCGATGCGAGCGCGTACCTGGAGAAGCAGCTGAACCGAGTGGCCAACAACACGGTCAAGAAGGGTGTGGAGGTTTCGTTTGGCCGCCTGAGCCCCGAGGAGAAGCCACTGTTTCAAGAGGCAATGGCACGGGAGCTGGCGGAACATCTGGAAGTACCGACCGTCCGGGCTGCATCGGCTTACGCTGACTACAATCATGGAAAAGACATTCCAGCGGACAAGCTGATCAAGATGAGGTGGCTACTGACCTGGAAGCCTTTGACACCACCTGAACCACCGGACAAGTCGGACCCACACCCCGTGAGCACGCCGGACGGGAAGTTCAAGGCGAAGGCCCGTATCATTCTGTTGGGCTTCTCACATCCAGACCTTGTCAGTCGCGACAAGTTCGGAGATCGGGTGCTTCCCACGGCGTCACCAACCATTTCAAGAAAAGGGAAGCTGGCACTCCTCCAGATGGCTGCTTTCCACGGCTGGACCTTCGAGCTAGCCGACGCGAAGTCCGCCTTCCTGCAGGCCGGGCACACCGAGGAGTGGAGGAAGCTCTACACGAAGGGCGTGAAGGAGCTCCGGCAGGCCTTGCAGATCAACGAGGAGGAGTCCATGCGAGTCCTGGCAGCGATCTACGGGATCACGAATGCGCCGTGGGTTTTCTGGAAGTATGTGGACCACAAGATCCACGAAGCAGGAGGCAAGAGCGTCCTCATCGAGCCATGCATCTGGATCATTCAGGACCAGGACGGCACCGTGTGCGGGGTCATCGGCTCGCACGTGGACGACTTTGGCATCGCAGGCGACAGCGACAACAAGTTCTACCTCGACATGAAGAACATGCTGAAGGAGATGCTGCGGTGGTCTCCATGGCGAAGCACGCCGTGCATGTGGGCAGGCATGTGGATCACTAAGGAGCCGTCGGGCAAGATCCATGCCAGCCAGGAGGAGTTCTGTCACCAGCTCCTCGAGATCAGGGTTGAGTCCGGCAAGTATCTCTCGAAGGATGACAAGCTCAAGCCGGAGGACGTCACCCAGTTCAGGGCAGGCCTGATGAAATGTCAATGGAGAGCGACACAGACAGCACCACAGTTCTCATGTCGGGTGTCACTGTTGGCTCAACGGGTGAACGAGGCGACGTTCGGGGACCTGAAGGACACGAACGCCCTCATACGCGATGTGAAGCGGACCGCTCGTGACTCACTGGTGTTCCACAACTTCAATAGCAACTGTGGCGGCAAGCTGAAGTGGGACGACCTAGTGATCGTGACGTGGGTCGACGCAAGCAGACTACTACAACGAGGAGGCTACATCGTGGCGTTCACCACGGCCGAGATTCTCAAGCAGAAGGAATGTGCAGTATCGATCGCCGACTGGAGATCGTACAAGCTCAAGCGCACCGGCATCGGCACCAACGGCTGCGAGGGCCAGGCTCTGTACGACGGCGAGAACGCCGCGTACCTGATGCGCATGCTGTGGTCAGTCATGCACGGAGTTCCAGTCACCGCGCACACTCAGGAGGAGGTGGCGCAGTCCATGACTTCGGTGCTGGTGATCGACAGCCGAGGAGTTTATGATTCAGTTCACAACAAGGAGAGCTTCGGCATAGGCCTGAGCGACGCGAGGACCGGCGTGGAGGTTTTGCATGTGAAGGCGAACTGCGGGCCCGAGAAGAACCAGCACCTGGTTTGGGTACCCTCGGACCTCAACCTCACCGACGGCCTCACGAAGGACAGCCCCGAGGCAAGGAAGCCTCTGGCTCTGTGGCTTGCACGGCGTACCTGGATCATCAGGTACGATGAGGATTTCATGTCAGCCAGGAAACGACAGCGAGCCAACAAACTCGCTCAGGACAAGCCGCAGGCGCCTACGGATGCTGAAGCCGAGGCCGCCGACGCTTTAGCTTTTCTCGACCTATCTTGAGGATAGGGTCGGGCTCTTTCTCATCATTCCTTTTCATATTTGTACTGTGCAGGGCCCCTCTTTTGATCCAGTTCGGTCGGAACGGTTGAGAAGGATTTTAGGCTCATGTCGAGCCGAGGCGACTCGAGCGAAGTTTTTGAGTCAACCTCTCCTTCCTCACTCTCTCTCTTGCCGCCGCCTCCGCGGCTGTATGGGATCGAGGAGGGGGCCCCCTCTTTTGTGCAGAGAGCGCGGCAGACACGCTCGCCGGCACGGGCCGGCGCCAGATGCTCGACGGACGAGCGCAGCACATCACATCGTGCAGAATACATCGTCGACGGTAATCACGACAATCATCATCATCATCATCATCATCATCATCATCATCATCATCATCATCATCATCATCATCATCATCATCATCATCATCATCATCATCATCATCATCATCATCATCATCATCATCATCATCATCATCATCATCATCATCATCCTCATCCTCATCATCATCATCATCATCATCATCATCATCATCATTATCATTATCATTATCACGATCATCATTATCAGCAGAAGCATCATCATCATGATACGCATCCTCATCCTCATCCTCAGCCACATCATCATCATCATCATCATCATCAGCATCATCATCCTCATCCTCATCCGCATCATCTTCCTCATCATGATCATCATGAACACCATCATAATCATAATCAGCATCATCAGCATCATCATAATCATCAGCAGCATCAACAGCATCAGCATCATCAGCATCATCAGCATCCTCATCCGCATCAGCATCATCATCAGCATCATCAGCATCATTATCACCACCACCAGCATCACCATCATCATCATCATATCATCATCATCATCACCATCATCATCATCACCATGATCAGCAGCATCAGCATCATCATCATCAGCAGATTCATCGTCAGCATCGTCATCATCATCATCATCATCATCATCATCATCATCATCATGACCATCGACATAATCATCAGCAACATCATCCACATCATCAGCATCAGCATAATCACCATCACCATCACCATCACAGTAATCCTCATCAGCATTAGAATCATCATCAGCATCATCACCATCATCATCAGAAATATCATACTCATCATCGTCGTGATCATCATCATCAGCATCATCATCGTTATCATCATCAGCATCATCATCGTCATCGTCATCATCGTCATCATCATGTTCATCAGCATCATCGTCATCAGCAGCATCATCATGATCATCATCGGCATAATCATCATCATAATCATCATCATCATCATTCTCATCATCCTCATCATCGTCATCGTCATCATCCTCATCATCCTCATCATCGTCATCGTCATCATCATGATCATCAGCATCATCATGATCATCATCATGATCAGCATCATGATCATCATCATAATCATCAGCATCATCATCAGCATCAGTATCAGTATCAGTATCATCATTGTCGTCGACATCATCATCCTCATGCTCATCCTCATCCTCATATTCATCCTCATCCTCATCCTCATCCTCATCCTCATCATCATCATCATCATCATCATCCACCCCACTCCCCCAGGAGGGATTGGGGAAGCCTCCTGTCGTCCTCCTCCCCCCCGGGAGAACATGGTCAAAATCTCGTTGTGCGAGATGACGCCCGGATTGGTCATGTTGAAGGTGCCAGACCTTGGCCGCCGCACGCGTAGGAAACGGCCGCTGGGACGGTTTCCTCAGCGCCCCCATGCATTTCTGTGCCCCGTCCAAGGATTTTTCTGGAGGGTGGGAAGCGGGGAGGGGGCATTCCTGCTGATATGTTCTGCTTCACGGAAGGAGATCTTGGGGCCACTGTCGTCATCATCAACAACATCATCATCATCACCACTACCACCATCAGCGTAATCAGAATGACCATAGTCATGAATATCATTATCAGCATCATCAGCGTCATCACCAGCATCATCATCATCATCGTCATCATCAGGAGCATCATCATCATAACCGTCAGCATCATCAACAACGACAACAGTATCATCATCGTTATTGCCATCATCAGCACCATGATTATCGCCACCACCATCACCATCATCATCAACATCGTCAGTATCGTTACCCTCAGCAGCAACACCATCCATCGCCAAGCTGTCGAATGGGCCCAAATTTTTCGGGTCAGCACAGCCGACGATAATATGAGTATACATACCTACATATATGATACATGAATATGACAACGGTGAGAGCGAAGGAGAGAACGAGGAGATGAAAGACAAAAAGACAAAAAGAGAAGAGGAAATGGAGGAGGATGCGGAATACAAGGGGAGCTCGCAGCAGCAGCAGCACAGGGGAGGAGGAGGAGCAGGAGGCAGGAGGCAGAGAAGGCGGAGCAGGGGGGCGAGAGAGAGGGGGAGCACGACTCGGACGGGCCTGGGCAGCGCGAGAGGGCGGAAGGCAGGGGACAACGGATGGGAATCACGCCTTGGCGATGCCCAGCAACAAAGGTTGCCCAAAACCGGCAGCGGCCCCTGTTGGGCGAGCGACACGTGCCACTACCGGCGACTGCAATGGATGCGGTTTGCGAAGGGTGCGGTTCGCCTCCCGTCATATCTGCCCCTCCCGCCCCCGGGACAAGGATGACACTGTCACTCAATGCGGCCGAATCACATGACACTGTCGCTCCTTCTAGTACAGTGGAGCACACATCGAGGATGACAGTGTCGCTCGAAACGACAATCATGACATTGTCTCTCGCAAAGGCCCCGGAAAGGCCGCCACAAAGCAAATCGCAAACCGCACCCTGGCGTAACTGCACCGACTGTAGTCGCCGACACTAATAGACGGCGTCCGCGGCGACACCAGCGGCGAGTCCTGTTCGGAGTGCGCAAGAACTGCTGTTCGCTTTCCTCCCCACACTTGCAGTACCCATGTCGAGTGTACAAGATGAGCAAATCACTCCACCGATCCTGGGCCCAGGATTGGCCCGGCCAGGATCGGCGGGGTGTACAGTCGACGTCCCCCCGCGCGAGGCCGTGCCGCGGTCGCTGAGCGCCCCGCTCTCTGTTCAAGGCCATCTTCACCATGACGGGCAGGAGCTCGTCGAGCACGGTCATGGAGTTGGCAATGGAGCAAACGTACTCGTACTTGCAGATCTTGGTGATGAAATTCCGATGGTTGTGAAAGCCTGGGCGGTGGTTCGGACAACGGGATTGACACACACACACAACAACAGCAACAACAACAACAACAACAACAACAACAACAACAATCATTTTACCCGAACGCTCAGTGTTCTCCCCAGTGCCAGGGTTTTCATGCGACGCCAGCCAATACCCCCACTTCGTGGGGGGGCAATGCAAGCTCTACCAAACATCCACACGACTCTCGGGAACCACCCACACCCAGCTTCCCGCCCTATGACGTCAGGACACTTCACTTCGTGGCGCGCGGACGATCGTGGATACTACACTGGCGTGGAGTACACACCCGCAGAGGTTAATCACTTGTTTGGGCCCCGCATGTGCCCCGCATCGTGCATTTGTTGCGCATGATATGAGAGCAAGACAGAGAGAGAGAGAGAGCAAGACAGAGAGACAGAGAGAGAGAGAGAGAGAGAGCAAGACAGAGAGCCAGAGGAGAGCTACGGTGCGATTCGTGTGATTTTATGATGCGCGGTGCTAACATTCTTAAAAACCCAATGGTTTTTGTAGATTTCGGCGTGCGCGCGCGAAGAAAAAACGAATGTGTCCCGCATGATATTATTTGACAGGGATGATGGCCCTGGCAGGTGCGCAACCGTTGTCGCAGAAGTTCGAAAAAGTTGCTCGCAAAAGCCCGTTTGACAAAATTGTTTAAAAAGTGTTGGTTTTCCTACGAATCCGCAAGAGCGCGCGGAAGGACATTTTGACAATTTTTTATTAAAAAACCATTGGGTTTTTGATGTTTTTATGTTAAAATCGTTACGAAACCTAAGGTTTTGGAAGGATTTCGTCTTGCGCGCACGAATGTCCACTTTACCTTATTTTTTGCAAGGGATTCTTGCAATTTGATCAAGTAAGAACAAGAATTTTCATTTTATAGTGTTTTTTGCAAGGGAAAACGGAGTACAACAAAACAACCGGATCCGGTAATAATTCACTTTTCTGAAGCTTTCGCTAAAAAATGATGAAAATGTAGCTGCGGCCTAGGTTTTGGAGGGGGGTCGCGCACCAGGGGTCCCAACAATAATTATTCTTTAGAAGTAATAATGTTCAATTACAACAACGCACAAACACACACACACACACACACAGACGCTGATGTGTCATTAGCTCCAAGCTGTGCCCCCATGAGTGGAGCGAGCGGCCCTGCCAGCCGCCCGACGGGATCTGCTTGACTGCCTGCGGTGACCTGGTCGCCTCGTCAGAACCGTGCGCCTTGCACCATCGCCTTGATCACGCAGTGGCGCCCACCATCAATCTCTCCCTTCACTCCCATCCTCCGCCACCTCGCCCCCAATTCCCCCCCCTCTCCCGCGCCCACCCCGTCCCCCCTCCACCTCGTCGCACTTCGCCTCCCCTTCCCCTGCCTCTCCCATCAATCCCAGGCCGGCCCAGTCGGGGCGCGCCAACTTGGGTCAGCCTTGGCTGTGTCGCGAACCCCCGCCTGCCGAATAGTAACTCCCAAATCTGAACCAACGGAGGGAGGGGAGAAAGAGTCGACACCACATTGTTCCCAAAGACGCACATGGACAGCAACCGCCCCATGCAAAGTCGGGAGGGGCAGAAGCGGGCTCCTGTGATTGGCATGCGAATGCGCAGGTTCAACACATCCTTGTCGAACAGGTGCATCAACTGGTCGGTGAACCCCTTGGGGCAAGCACCCGCGGTGGCGCGAGCGAGGGCGAGGACAGCGAAGAGTGCTGCGACGCGGGGGCCCAAGCAGGAAGGAGCACGCAGGCCGGCAACGGCAACGGCAGGAGCACAGGCGAGCGGGAGGAGAAACTGCAGCGGGACAATGCACCGGGGAGGCGAACATGCTGGGAAAACAGCGTTTCTCCTCCTCGTTTTCTTCCTCCTCCTTCTCTTCCTCCTCCTGAACATCTGGCACGAGGCTCTTCTTCCGAGAAGGTAAAATAATACCTGCACCAAGGAAATGCAAAAGTATATTGCGAGGCAGCGGTTCACAAAATGTGGACGCCCCAGGTGTGACACAGCTACCATACAAATGATACCATCACAGTGGCCCGGCCTGCCCACCCGGTCAGGACGGTATAAACTAGCACACACACACCCTTCGGCTGATAAGCCGAATGTGAAAACGGGCGCAATATATACAACAAAAGCAGTTGGGCAACGGAAAAAACCAAAGCAAGTCGACAGTGCCGCTAAGCCAGGACCCCATCCTAGCAAATCCGCGTTTTTTGTTTACGATATGTATACAGATGCTGCTGTTATAATACATGACAAAACTTGTGCTAGCAGAAAGCGGCTATGATCTGGGCGTGCACGCGCAAGGGCCTCCTGACACGCGATACACGGTTTCAGCGTCGCACAGCACCAACATCGTGCAATAATATTGGCAGTTTCTGTAGCAAAGGCTAGACGAGCACCAAGACTTCAACTGATCCTGAGCTATAATATCAAGGAAAGCGGCATGCAATGAGAACCTGGATGTGGATGTATCAAACACTCTCTGGCGAGTGCCAGCGAGTGCCTTCCACAAAGAAAGCGTTGATTGGCACTTCGCATATGTATGGACATGCTTTCATTGCTCACATACGCAAGTAGAGCATTTGCGAGATCCCCGAGGGTTTCTACTTTGATCACTTTGATGTCCTCTCGTCGCACATCATCATGCAACCAAAGTTAGCAAACTTCGATGTATCTAACCTTCCTTGCCCGCGCCTGCTCGCAAGGGCACCGGCTGCAATCGCACCGCACTTTAAGAGCATGCCGCAGTCAGCATCGAAGCCCATGGGAGCCGCATGAAGCCCGAACCCTACAGAAGCACCTGCAAACATTCCGCAGCACACCGCTTCTCCAGAAGACAATGCCACGAAAACTATGAGTCGACCTCAATGAGTTTATCAAGTGCAATCCCTGCGGAACTGTTCCTCTACTCGTCGACTTGCGCGTCTTTCTGCACGCTGCGAAGCCCGCGTCTGTCCACACAATGAACTCCAAAGGTCGTTCTTGGTACGCATACTGGCACCCACACCTGTCGCGGATCTTGAGGTGAGTGTCCAATGCTGCGAAACTTCGCCACGTCCCTCGGGCCGGGGCTAACATAGGGCGCGCAGGCCCCTTAACTGAAAACTGCATGTCCGAGCGGTCCTGTGCAAAACAACATCCGGCATTCCTTGACTTCATGACTTGGAAGAAAAACCCTCGCCCTGTTCCTCGCAAGGCTGCGCCCCACCTGGCATCCCACCTCGTTGCGGACCCGCCCCAAACCGTAAACCATCACAACTCCATTCCACAGATCCGGTCGAGAATCCTGACGATCTCAAGCACGTCGGCCCAAGTCCGAGTCTGCCTCGGACGTTGACTTCGAATCTCCCTTAACTTCGCTTTCGAGCCAGTTAAGATCAACAGCGATATCCGATAAAGTAGAATCATACCCATGCACCGCTACCCAGATCCACCTTGTTCCCTGCGTGAATACACGTGGCGACGTTTTCGTGTTCTCTCACCCAAAAAAAAAAAAACGTGCAAATTCCAGGCAGCAGCGTCTCGGGTCTCGCACATTGCTTATAGCATTCGCCCACACATGCCCACTTCACAATCTTCGTCAAGCAACCAAACGAGGATGTCCGTGTAAACCCCAGTTCAACAGCATACCCGCCGAACGTCTCGAAACGCCAGCGGGCGCCCTTTCCCGCCCCCCCCCCCCCCAATCATGCCCTATATCCCCTCGGCAACAGCCATAGAGAATAACCACGCTGCGGGCTTCCACTGAAAGCGCGGTTGCAAAAATGTTCTTGGAATCCCACCAGCCCTTTGGGCGTGAGTGGTTTAGAGAGCCCGTTCTGTTCTCAACCCCCTTCTTCCCCTTCGGGGAGGGGTTTACCCCTCCTCCTACCCCCTCCCCCTGGGCCTGGAGAGGGCGTTCCGCGGGTGGTCAGAGGGGTCGTTTTTGATTCCTGGGAGGGCTAAAAAAAACGACACCCCTCACGAGGATTCTGGCCCCGACGGGGGGACGCAGAAAAGACCCCCTCCTCTTCTTTGAAGCCAAAATCATTGATTTTACTGCGGTTTCGGCCCCGTTTTGGCCTTCCGAGGGGGCAGCGTTCCTTAAAGCTCCCCTCTTCTTTCAAGGCAAAATCATCGACTTTACGAAGGTTGTGGGCCCATTTTGCCCTTCTGAAGGGGGCAGCGCTAATTAAAGCTCCCCTCTTCTTTGATCGCTTTCCTCCAAGATGGCCCCAAGAAGCGCCCAGGAGGCACCAAGAGGCCCCAAGATGGCCCCAAGAGGCCCCCAGGAGGCCCCCAAGAGGCCTCCACGAGGCCCCCAAGATGCCCCCAAGAGGCCTCCAAGAGGCCCCAAGAGGCTCCCCCGAGGCACCCAAGACGCTCCTGGAAGCCCCTGGGGCCGCCAAGAGGCCCCCAAGACGCCCCAAACGGCCTCCAAGAGGCTCCCAAGAGGCCCGAAGAGGCTCCCCCAAGGCACCCAAGACGCTCCTAGAAACCCCTGGGGCCGCCAAGAGGCCCCCAAGACCTCACGCAACGAGGAGCCCGAACGACTCACACCAGGACGAGGGGCCCGAACGACTCACACCACGAAGAGCCCGAACGACTCACACCAGAAGGAGGGGCCCGAAAGACTCACACCAGGACGAGGCGCCCGAACGACTCACACCACGAGGAACCCGAACGACTCACACCACGACGAAGGCCCCCAACGACTCACACCACGAGGAGCCCGAACGAGTCACACCAGGAGGAGGGGCGCGAACGACTCACACCAGGACGAGGGGCCCGAACAACTCACACCACGAGAAGCCCGAACGACTCACACCAGGACGCAGAGCCCGAACGACTCACACCACGAAGAGCCCGAACGACTCACACCAGGAAGAAGGGCCCGAACGACTCACACCAGGACGAGAAACCCCAAACGACTGAAACCACGAGGAGCGCTTTCTCTCCCTCCTCCTCCGCCTCGTCCTTCTCCCGCTCCCACCACAAGGAGGATGTACAAGGAGGCGGGAGGGAGGAGGAACAGGGGAGATATGCAGGGGCAGGCGGAAACACGCCTGAAAAACACGACGGTCGGCATGCTTCGGAAGAGTTGCTGTTTTGAGATGGGCTGGTGGGGATACGCGAAGCGTGAAGAATTAGAGTTTCACCTTGACATACTGGGGCAACAGCCGGGATCGGACCTCAGGATTGGGTTCGTCTCCTGTCGAGATCAACCCACCCTCCGCCAATGGGGGCCCCCCCAGTCACCGCCCAGCATTCCCCCCTAGACATCGCGCCCCCTGACTTGCCCCATCTTCTCCCCCCAAGCTTCTAACGTGAGATCTGGATCAAGTTGACTTCCTGCCACATCATCCCACGCATGTACTTTTCCACGCGCACAATGACCTGCGCTCACGTCACCTCCGACGCACCTGTAACTTCCAGCCACCCCTGGCGCCAGCACGCCGCGCAGATTTCTCTGGCGGACTGCATGACCCAGGCATCTCAGTAGATAAATTGAACGGCGATGTCGAGTGCTACCTCTGAATGATTTCCCCCACTCCTGACCTCACTAACCTCCCTGCCCCCGAGTGCCTGGCCGGCGCCCAAGTCCTGCGCAACCAAGCGTAGACGCGCCTGGAAGCACGAAACGAGGTCGACGCAATCTTCTCTGGCCCAGGCAACCGCAATCCCTTTCCCACGCTCATCCGGTTCGCTTCCGATCTCACTGATGTCCGTTCCTTCGCCTGGTTTACCCCAAACGGCCGCGGGATCACAGGTCCCGAAAGAACGCCCCCATCGATCATCAGCCGTCATCTCCCTAACCAGGCCTCCAAGTATAGCTCGACAGGGTCGTTGATGCCTCTGATATCCTCGTTCTGCCCCCCCCAAATCACCAGGGGCGCCGACGCTGACCTCGACATTTCGCACTGGGGGCCTTTCCGGCGCAGGGGCTGCAGGTCACGGGCACCTTCGCCGGCACCTCCCCCCACTTAACCACTTGCGTTAATCCAGAGCAGCACATATCGCCATCACACGTTTGCACGCCTTCGCGAATTAACTAACATTCTCCGAACTCGCAGCGCGGCCCTGCTGGGGGCCACCGCGGGGCGCTCAAAAAGACGATATGGACCGCTGCTTCTCCGAACCGCGCACATTTCCAACGCGAGCGCGGGGTGCTCGACCCCGCGATCAAACTGGCCCTTCATCTTTGCCAGCCCCAGGCGCTCCGAGGCAAGTGCGCCCGGCCTGCCGAGGACTGCGCGCATTGGACACGCGATTATGAATGAAGGAGCATTGCTCTGAATGCTTTTCTTCGCTTGCGCCCGCATCGCCTCGCATTTCTGAATCGATAAATGACCCAGGCACGAATCCCATTTTCTCCGCCATGCCAGCAGACCAGACAGGTGATGGGGGCCTCAGAAGCACGCGACTGCGCACTACGTTGTCTCATATCGGCACTGAACAACTTCGTCGCAACTTCGGCGTCGAACCCGAAGGTGCCCTAACCAGTGCGCGCGCAATCCGCCCTCATATTATCATGTTTTGTTCGCCCGCACGCTCGGCGCGTCTTCACGCGCGTCCCCGTCGTCTGACACCATGCTAACATCGACCTCATGACCCATCCAGAATCTCATCATCCTCATCGTCCTCCTCTCTGAATATCCGGCACTCTCGTCATCCCT